AATGAAATATGAAATTCCCTTTGTTCTATCATGTAGGCCTTCATTGCTTTGTTCGGCATGGTTGGAGGGCCTCAACTCGGACTCTTCTCTCTTGGAATATTTTTCCCCTGGGCAAACTGGAAGGTAGGAGAAACGGTCTTTTATACGGTTCTCTGTCTGTCGTAGCTCTTTGGATATATGGGTTTTATTTACTTGCAGCGATTTTCTATGCAATATGAGGATAATAGATGCAATAAAATCTTTATATTTTTGATAGTTGTTTTCTAATATAACTGAGTGACGCGATCACAACAACGGAAAACGGTAGGAGTATCCATACCTCGTTGCTGCAGCAGTTGTAATAGCGCGTTTCATTCAAAATACATATGTGATTCATGATTTGTAGTTAATATATATATAAATATATATATATATATATTTTTTTTTTTTTTTTTTTAGTTAAGAAAAATGATAATTATTTGAGGAAAATGATCACGAGTAAGTGAAATCGTCAAAACTTGAGAATGATCAGCAACGAGCAGTATGTTGTCCTGGAATAAGATCATGCTTACCTGCCCGCCCAGACAGCGAAATAACAACGATCAAGACAAATGTCGTCTGCATCATTTCACATCCTTAACACTAATGACATGTCACTTCGTGTTTCACTGTGTGAAGAAACGCTGTGGAGAGGAGGGTCACAACCCGGCACGAAGATTCGATAAAACATTTTGCATTATTTGTCAATGGAATAAGAAAAAAAGTATTACTGATGTACTTACATTACTTCATTAAAAAAACTCCTCCCCGTCGATGTTATAAGGAAAATCGATCACTCGAGTACAAGTGCAAATAAAAGCGTAATTAAGTATAAACACGAAATCCATTAATCGCTTTGAACGGCTCGGATACAAACCCCCCTCTATCACCCCCAGCTAAATATACCCTTCCCCCTCAGAAGTGAAGCCATATCAAAAGGGATGTTGATTTTTCCCCAAATATCCAATATGGAAGATAAGAGACCAACGCGAACAGAAACACTCCGCTTATTAATAATTCGACAAATATCTTATTGGTATAGCGGGATAACGTGTAAATATTTGCGACCAAATGGTCAAACAGCTGTGCAGTGAATAGCACAAAATCTGTATCAATATTATAACTTTGTGAATTATTTTAGATTAAGCAAATCAAACTACCATTGTTTATTTGATAAATATGAGCCACGGTGAAAATAAGATTTTTTTCTTTTTTGTTTGTTTGTTTTGTTGTTTTTTTTTTTCAATTAATTTTATTTCCAGTAAAGTTCCTTTCTTATACGTACTACAGATGCGCCTCGGTTTACAGATGCCTGGTCATATTTGGCCCTGATAAAATAAATGTAAATTGATGTCACATGGATTTGTAATTTTATTTTTGACCATACTTCTGTGATTCAATACTTTTTTTCTTGGAGTGGGACATAATCTTATTAAGGGTTCTGAAAAAAAATAAAACATAACGCTCACATACAGAAGCAACAAAAAGTAATTATTATTTAATTTCTCTTCTGAAAGAAAGGATGAAGCCTCATACTGCACCGAGATTACCTTTCCTAAAAATGCCTTCGGTATCCTCCGCACGAACACATGTACAATGGGTATTTAATAACTTGTCCAGCTGCGTGCCTTGCTGTCAAGTACAGTAATATAACGGAATGCGATATTAATATGCTACAAGTATTTTTTTGCCATAATATTTATATATGTTATTTGCTCAATATATGTACTTTTCAAGGCAAATCGCAGCAACGTGTTTGTGGGTCTAATTTGTTGTAGCAATTGTCAGATGTGAAAGTTACTATTTACATGTACAACGTGCAGTTTATTCAGATTCCTTGCCTCGTTAATGTCTATGTACTGTGAGGATTATCTTAAACTATGGTGGTAGGGCTAAACCCTGCTTCTAAGAATGTGCATCATTCTTCTTAAGAATATTTACTTTTAAATAATAATCCTGCTGCTAAAGAAACAGTGACAATGTTGGGGTATTTTATTGTCCCCAGTTCACTTGGAAATTGAATATATCATTTGAAAAACCGAAATGAAGTTAAAAGCGAGTGTTGTGATATCATTGTTAATGCATATCAAGATGATGTACGACTCGTGATCAGTAAAACACTGAGAAAATCAAATTAGCAGTTAGGCGTGATGAAGTCAGATTTATGCGCATCAGCTGGATTGTGTCATTTGTTGCTTTTGAATATGATTCCAATTTAATTATGAGCTCAACTAGATTTATATGTGTGCAAGTATTTAGTGTTATGATTTATTAAAAATGGCATTTAGAGTAAATATTGGTCGCTTCCCTCTTTCCCAAGAAGGATGATATATAAACAGGTGCCTAAAATAGCGATATCACAGACACACACAAAATAGCCTAAAATAGCGATATCACACACACACACACACACGCGCCCGCGTGCGCGCACGCACACACACATATACTGACAGTCAATGAAAACGCACCATTTATTTGTCAAATAATATTTTTAATTCTTTAAAACAAAAGGAAAATAAAAACTTTCGTGTGAAATATGACCGACTATTCAGTCAAACAAGATAACTCTCTTATGACCAAGCACGTGAATTTGCACTCGCTTATATGGTTGGAATCGATTCTCGGTAAAGAAAAGGTCAAGAAAGTTTTCTGATGCGTTTTCATTGACTGTCAGTATATATATATATATATATATATATATATATATATATTGACATATATATTAATGACTTATATATGAATGACTTGGTTATAAGATGCACATGTAATTACATATATTGTTGGTTATCGATTTCTTTCAAGTCGATTTTAACATATATGCTTTGATTGCATAATTTTACTTAGTCTTTACGATGGGGGTAATTCTGTAAAGTTTGAATAAATGTTTTATGAAAGGACACTCTTTATTTATTATTATTTTTTGTGTGTGTGAATTTTATTACTTTTTTTTAAATTTTTACCTAAAAACTAATCTGTGTATAGAGATAAAACATTCTTTTCTNTATATATATATATATATATATATATATATATATATATATATATATATATATATATATATATATTGACATTTATATTAATGACTTGGTTATAAGATGCACATGTAATTACATATATTGTTGGTTATCGATTTCTCTCAAGTCGATTTTAACATATATGCTTTGATTGCATAATTTTACTTAGTCTTTACGATGGGGGTAATTCTGTAAAGTTTGAAGAAATGTTTTATGAAAGGACACTCTTTATTTATTATTATTTTTTGTGTGTGTGAATTTTATTATTATTTTTTTTAATTTTTACCGAAAAACTAGTCTGTGTATAGAGATAAAACATTCTTTTCTCTGTCGATTTAACTCTCAAATTACACGATCCGTTCAGTGAAACTGCAAGGAAATATATTTCATATAAAATGCACAAGTTGATTAAAGTAATGGACATTGAAGCAATCTGTGCAAGGTTTTATTGCAATTGGACACTCTGTACATATTATGTAAGACAGCTTAAGCTGGAAGCATAATCTATCATAATTGATTAGTAGCCAGATAATAATAATAATAATAATAATAATAATAATAATAATAATAATAATAATTAAGCAAAAAAGTGAAAAAAGTACTATCCGAGATTTTGGATACATAGATTGAAAAGTTTAAAGCATTAGAATGAATGCTACAATAATCCGTGTTTTCGCGAACAAACAACTACAATCGCCCTCTCTTCTACTCCTGAAGCCATTGGCAAAAATACATTTTAGACTCTAATTCTTTTTGTAACGTGAATGCAAGTCATTTTGTGTAGATAAATTACAATCATCAAATGTTGATATTAGGACCGACTGGTATTTCTGTTTAGTGCAATGTCATATACACTGTACGTGTGCAAAATCATAAACCAATTGCAATAAAGGTTGGGTGTTCAAATCAATGTGTTTTCTTTCAATTAAAAAGCACGTTTCTGGTCCATAAAGCTACGGAATTTCAAATGTATTTCATTTAATCGCATATAAACCTTTTCAAAAAAAAAAATAATAACAATAATAATAATACATTTACGTCTACAAAGCCGGTGACAACGTAGCACAACTAATGCAATGGAATTCAAATTTCATCGGTTCTGACTGGAATGTAATCAGTATTGGATGATCTGCGCTTGCGCGTTACGATCACTGCTGCTATGACAACAACGCATGCGCTGACAGCCATGACACCAGCTCCAAGTGTAGTGGCAGCCGGTGCCTGGGCACCTTCCTCGCCGTCCTCCTTATTCTTCCCCTCGTCTTTTACGGCAAACTCTGGGAAAACAAAGACGGGGTATTTAAACACATTCGATACGCTAGTTATTGGCAGTTGCAGCATTTGGTTTAGCATCTGCCTCTAATTGCTAGAGGAATACAAAATAAGACCAAAGGGGTCATTTTATTATGATGAGGGCCGGGGTGGAAAATGGCTTCATTAGTCTGCTTTGTTACGGTCATCAAACTCATTTTTCAGGGCGGCAGAGAGGTGCGGATATAAATCAATTAATTCCAAAAACGCGTTCGGAACGTTTAGTTCAAACAATAAGAAATGTACCTTCCCTTTAAATTCAATATATATGTTACTTGCCTGCTACGGGGTTCTCTTTCTGGACGAACACGGGTCCCTGCACCAGGCTGTACACCTCTACGTCACCAGGTACCGCTCTCTTCCCCCTGCCGCCATTTTGTGGACAAGCATACCCTTCACTGGGCCGCAGACACCTACTGTCCCGGTCAGTGGCGTTACACACGATAACGTCACAGTGGATGTACACCTCTGGATCGTTGAAGAACTCGAAGGCCTTGACAGCAAACTGCGCATGCGTGTCGTTAGAGGGATAGAAGCGTACCGTAGGGTCGTCTGGGCATCTGGAAATATACGATCAAGTTTTTTTTTTTTTATTGTGCTGATTGTAAACATTTGATCGATTAGTCGGATAATCACGTTGTGTGGACCTACTTATATGTCCTTTACCTTGAAGTTTAAACCATACTACTCAACGTTTGAACAATACATCGGTTAGTCAGTATACAGTACACTTGAGTGTTTATAAGTTCCTGTATATGTTCATCTTACACTATACCACCAGTAGTACTGATTTATGTACTGAATATCTACATGTATTTGTTGTTTAAATCATTCTTTATGGATGAAAAAATTCTATCTTGCATCAAGCTAACGGTAAGAAGCCTAACGGCATCAATACAAAATCTGCGATTGTAATCTGCGATTGAAAACACCAAACTCACTTGTTGCTAATGAGAGCGTATTGTGGATAACCCTTCGCAGCCTTCGGTGTCGCCACGCAGTTCTGTAGGACCACCTTAAGATTAACGTCCAGTGTCAGTAAAGCCACGTCCACATACATGTCCTGGTTAAGTCTGACCACGTGGGGATAGCTGGTCACGGGGTAGGTGAAGTAATCGGAATGGAACAGGTCCATCCTCAGGGTGAAGTTACCGTTAGCAACATATACTAGGTTGCCGTACACTGTGCCCTGCATTAAGAGCAAAGACAGTTATTTTATAAGTCTGTACGGACGAATTTATTGAAAACCAAAATGAACCGAATGCGCCATAATGTTGATCTGTTACTCTGCATCAATATGGCTCGTTATTGTATTGCAACAACATATTTTTTTGGCATATTGTACACGGGACTGACACTACTGACCGTGCTCTGACTTAGTTAGTCTGATAACACCACTGATAATAACAACACACGCGTACAAATACCGAGTGGAGCAAGTCATTTATTTATTCCCCGGGTGTTACACAAAGTGAAAACAACCAAAATTAGCTCACCTCAGCGACGAATTCCTCTCCTACGCTACCATATCTCGACAGCACACACTCCACTGTGTACCTGTAGTGCAGCTGGCGGTTGATGAGGAAGTTACTGTACGGACGGAGGATGAGGGCGTTTCTGTAGATGAACGTATCCCTGGTTTCCTTGACAAACGGAACACTACTGCTATTTAATATTTGTTAACAATTTGTATTAAGACGGTATTACTAACCAAAATTACGAGCGGATTATATACTTAAATATCTAAATTTTTCATTTTTCATGGCAATATACCCATGCGTACTAGTACATGTATGAGCTAATTTAAATGCAAAGGATGGTGATTTATTTATTTTTCATTTTGTTGTTACTAATTAAGACCAATATCAATTACCAGTCTGCGGGTTCCACACATTTGAGTGGCAAGGGTCACATGGAATATTGCGTTGCCGCCAAGGTATTGGTCAGGAACACACTTGATGTCATCCAATGTCAAGGTCATTGGACCAAGACGAGACTGGATGTCATTTACGTCCACCGTCACAGTCATACCCTTTGTCGAGTCACAATTCACGGAAACATTGGGGTTCACTGAAACAGCAGTACCACTGTTAAATGTGGGAAATTCAAGTTTTAACAACTTTTGTACTGTAACGACGATTCTAAATTTGGTTAAACCCAAGTCCATCTATACATAGATGACCACACTTGGTCATTTCAGTCAGTAAAATGGCTTGGTCGCTTGAGGGTTAAAGGCTTTCATCTGTTCGGTAAATACTAGTAAATATTGAAAACGTCCATTGTTAGCTTTTTTTCAAAAAAAAAAAAATTGTATGTCTTGGACATTGGCATTTAACACATGTACTTTTTATGAGTAAGGTGGGGAAAATACACGTTATCAAGAATGTGTTCCTTTATTGATGTTCCATGTATCCATGTTATTTTATTCTTACCTGGCGGTGCGGCAGTAGCCTCTAAAAAGAAAATAATTTAAATCAAGTAAGGCATTAGTATCTGCAAGTTGAAGAACTCGTTGATAAAGAAAGAAGCAAGTCATAATACAATTCATTCCTACATGTCTATATGGAACTTTGTGATAACCTCCCTTAAAACACCTGCTGTAAAACAATACTTCTCCAAACAGACCGACATGAACCGACTTCCGTAAGCGCGAGGTAGGTCATATTACAGTTAAGGGCTACTTTACATCCCCCTTCAACGGTTTTGTTATTTCACGCCGTCGTAATTGGCAGTTAGGAAGATGAAACTCTAATAATTCACGCGCTGTCGCTACAAGACTGGTTGTTTTTCCAGCAGTGTATGTACGATTGAGGTGAAAGGTACGATAAAGTTTTGAGAGTTCCAGCAACGTGGGGGACGCACTAGTCAGCTGTCAAAGTACTAATACGAGTACCCATAATTTTCATTCGTTGGAAATATAGTATATAAAACGTTAAAGGGATAATAACTCTGCGTGTGAGATCTATACTTTACAATAAAACATTGTGAACAACTCATAGAAGTATGATATATTCTGTTGTACAAGAAAAATGGCAGTTATAGCTATCATTCTGATATCTGAGCTTGTCTTTAGACCACGTGGCCTCCAATGATGGCTATGCTATATTATAATCTCTTAAGAAGGGATAATACTATTATCCCTTCTTAAGAGATTATTATTAATTTTTGTTATAATCTCTTAAGAGATTATAACAAAAAAAAAAAAAAAAAAAAAAAAAAAAAAAAAAAAAAAAAAAAAGAAAACAGGAACTAACTTTGAATGTAAAAATGGATTCATTAACCATTGATAAGTACATTAAATTGTTGTTTACTCCAGGAAAATTCATTTTTTTTTTGGCCAATACGAAGAGTTATTATCCCTTTAAATATGGGTTAAATGGTCAATTTTCGTGCTTATCTATAAAAAAAGCTACTCACGTGCACAAGCATCCGTGGCTAACTGTGTCTCTATATTTGACAGGGCACTGAAGTCTGTCACAGTAAACACGAATTTGCTATCCGGGTCGGTAGCCATGGCCTTCAGCTCGGCAGTATTAACATTACTCCCAACACCAATTGCGAACACAGACGCAATATTACGCAGCTTGTTTGCTTCTCTGGCGGTCGCCGCCATGTCATTAGACCTACCGTCGGTCATGACGATAACGAGGTTCGGTACGTTTGGCCGATCGCCTCTAGCAGCCGTGAAACTGCTGGTGCGGGCGGTGGAGAGAGCTAGGGCTGTGTCAGTACCGTCTCCCATCTGCCTGATCCTGTCCACGGCGGCTAGGATGGCGGCCTCGGTGCTGTGAGTGTTAAGGTTGAGCTCTTGCACCGCGTAGTCTGAGTACTGCAGAACGCCGACCTGTACCGCGTTTGGTCCAACGTCGAATTTCCTCACCAAAGACTTGACGAATTGTAGTTGTTTGGCAAAGTCGGGTGAGTCGACGCTACCAGACCCGTCCAAGATAAAAATTATGTCTGCCTGGGCGTTGCAAACTGTAAATATAACAAAGATTATTATTTTAGAAAAAAAAAGTCGGAAAATGTGCCACACTTAATAGTTTGGGGGTGGATTATTACCATATATTGGTAAAATCTCATTGTATAATGCCACAGGAAACCCTGCGAATAAACTATGTACTCTGTCAAATATGTCGCTTGTTGTTCACAATTGCTTTCTTGATTTCTACTAACAATCTAGTAGAAAAAATAACAAACCCGGTGGACTACTCAAAAGTCAAATCAAGAAATCACCACTTCACAAATAGCTCTGCTCATAATTTAAAGACGCGCGGATGATGCCCTGCACATTTATTGCAAAGAAAGAAAGATAGGGAGAGGGAGGGGTAGTAGTGGTTATTAATTTTAAAATGGAGAAAATAAATCACGATATTATACACAATATCAGCTAAAAAATGAATGTAAATTAATGAAATAAAATATTATATATATTCACATGTTTACCACCTAACTAGAGGTGAACTGTATTGTCATGATCAGTTTAAAGGGATAATAACTCTTTGTATGAGATCTATATTTCACAATAAAAACATTGTGAATAACTCATAGAAATATAATATATTCTGTTTTACCACAAAAATGGCAGTTATAGCTATTATTCTGATATCTGAGCTTGTCTTTAGACCACGTGACCTCCATTGATGGCTATACTCTGTTGAAACCTCTTAAGAGATTTTAACCAAAAAAAAAAAAAACTTTTCAGAAAAAAACCAGGGACAAACTTTGAATGTAAAAATGGATTCATTAGCCATTGGTAAGTATGGGAAAATTGTTGTTTACTCCAAGAAAATTTATTTTTTGGACGAAACGAAGAGTTATTATCCCTTTAACTATATGTTCTTCGCTAAATATATTGTTTATATCATTGATATAATACGCCCAATAATTAAAGTGTACAATAAACCTGTACCTACTTGGTGTTACCGATTCGTTTGTGGGGCTTTCGGTAGTTGGCCACCCTGGAGTTGAAAACAATGATATATATATTATTTGACACGCATTGGATTGCATCAGCATAAAAAATATATATTTTCTGGTAATGTTTTTCAGGGACGGTTTTATCAAAGATTTCCTGACACTATCTACCTATACATGCGTTGATATCGGTAATGATGTTGGATAACACTGCAACAGCTTACAAGATTCACTTTCTCATACACTGTATGAATTAAGCGTTGAACATTAGTAAATATAGTGTGATTTGATATAAATTATGAAGCGTGACATACCGAAATATTCACATCTCTTCCTAAATGTAGTCCAGGGACATGTACAGTTGTAGTCCACATAGTCATAGGGCCAGTAATAATACTCACCATAATATTCACACCGCTTCCCGTATCTCGCCCATGGACATGTACAATTGTAGTCAACATAGTCATAGGGCCAGTAATAAGATCTTTGTGGGACACACGTGCCTCCGTAATAACATGGGTAGGAAGAGCAAGGGTCTTGAAAAAATGCAAGGGAAAACAATGCAGTTTAATAAGTGCTATCACTATGTATATTGTTTAATGCATTTTCTGATAGTTGTTACATTTTGACGGAGGTATTAAACCCTCGATTCTTGAAAATTTAATAATAAATAAATAAATAAATAAATAAATGAATTAATAAATAAATAAATAAATAGTCAGTTGAAATGATGTATTTCGCTCACAGCATCATCTTTGTATCGTGTTTTATTGTCTTTTAAGAGAAGTTGTGTTGATCTTTATGCATCTTATAATAATATTTATAATGCTATCTATACTTGAAACTAAGTATACTTACCGTAGTTTGAGGTAGTCATCGGTGGTTCGGATGTTCCGTTTAAATCTTAAGAAAAAAAAATTCATTTTGATGGTTTATATGTATCAAAAGAGAATACGCATCTTCATTCATTGACACTTGGGACTCACCGTGTTCCAGCCATATAAATATTAATGATGCATCCATTATAATGAACGTACCAGGTTAGAAACCCCCTTTCTTCATTCTACAATCCCCATAAATGCCTGCCACTGATCAATTGACATGCATCTGTGTTTATATATGTAATAAAAGTTAACACGAACCAAATCGGGTTATTCTGGATCATCAGAGATTGAATAAAAAGAGGATTGTGCAAAGTTAAACAGGACTAAAGTGTGTAGAAGAATATGCGAGGCGATAACTGCGATACTCATGTGCCGACAGAGCGTCTTGGAAAGCAAAAAAGGCGGGAAAGTGGAGGAGTACACCGAAAAAGGTCAATTCGTACTGTTAAGCAACAGAATTAGAAAAATAACCAGAATAACATTTGCTGATAAATTATGTAGGCTTTTTTTTCTCTCGCTAGTCAGGTAACGGTTGCCAATTGGAGTCATACGAGAACCACTGTGAAATCAAGCGAGATAACGACATTTTACAATAATTCTCGTATAACCCCTATTGACAATCTTTGTGTACGCAAATACAGGATGCTGCATCTTAACTTTTTCTGACGGAGGTGGGGATCCAAAAAATTAAACTGTGCGTGTAATATATACAGACTATATATATTCTACAGATACTCCAATAAGCTACCAATGTCGTTGAAATAAACTTACAGTGTGGGACTTTTCTACAACTCCTCTGATATGGAGATCCACATGATACACTGATGTCTTCTCCATGTCCACAGTTGTGTTGTCCCCACCCATAATGGTTACACTGGGTAATAGACATTTCTGTTCCTACACAATCTAGGTTATCCAACCATATCTGTCCGCTGCCAGCACCAAAGCACGCGCTTTCATATCCTTCTACATTCTGGTCACTGTAACATATAGCACACCAATCCTATTTTATACGTAAACAAATGTAATAATGCATGTTCAATCTTAATTATGTCATTTTTGTCGGTCGAGCAAATGTTCGTATTGCTCAGTAATGGAATTTTAACTAATTAATATGAAATGTTAACCAAGAATGAGTGAGTGATTAACTTGCAATACCCTTTGTCCATTGAAATATAAACGGGTGGTACAAGAAATTAATAGCAGTAATTTCTATGTGTTACATGGAATCTACACTCGCATCATATGCCACTTAAATAAATATTGCAATATGTACCCAAATCCAAGCATGCGGCATATGACTGCGGCATCTCTATCGTCAAATCCGTCATCACACACAGTGCCCCAGCGGCCATTGAAGTACACCTCCACACGTCCCTCTCTGTTGCTGTAGCCTCCAACTAAACGAACTGGGACGGCTGCAATAAGAATACTTTTTATTAAACCATTTTAAGACAATCTTTGCCTTGACCAGAGTTTTAATAAGTGAATGCTAAATTAAACGCACTCCTGGAAGATATGAGCACGCGTTTTATTCACAATTTTAACATTTATGCATACTATTTCTCATCATCCAGCACCCCCGTACCTACAAAAACTAGTTTTGCATTATGCTCCAAAACAAAGCTTAAGATTATAGTTGACCAGTTTTTGCTCATGCCATGTAATGCCAGACTGAGAACGTACGGCGACCTAGCTCTTCAAATCTATGGACCAAATGAATGGAACAATCTCCCAATGTACATAAAAACTGAGGACAAATATATATATATATATATATATATATATATATATATATATATAACTGATTTGATAGACTGCTTTCTTTTATACTGTACTGTCTATTTTAATATTTTAAAATCTTAACTGCCTATAAATCTATTTACATTGTACTATACTTTTTAATATCTACTATTAACTATCTAATATTGACTGCATATATGTTGTTCATTTTACCCATGTAAAGTCTACTTAACATTTTATATGGATTTTAGACTATAAATAAATATTATTATTATTATTATTATTATTATTATTATTATTATTATTATTATTGGAATAGTACAGAAATACAATGTGTTATAAAATGTTCGTTTAAAAAATAGAAAATAAATACAATGCTCACAATCATACTGGAAATTAAACATTTACTGATTAAAATAAAAACCTAACCGGTGAGACAAAAGAAAACGGTAGATTTACTCACTGACATATTCTTCTGTCGACAAATTGGGGATTTCTGTTGTTTCTGAAAAACATTATATGTATAAATTAACCAATTGCAAATATGACAATTTGCATAACTACTTGTTGCTATCAGCAAATTCCTTTTCGTTATTTACCAAAGTCAACATACATATATTTACTTGTAGCATGATTTCGTCGTAAGCAGGTGTAGCGTGCTGTGCCGAAACTTACAGAAATGGTTAGCGAATAAAAATGTGTTAAACTTCTTCAACTAGGGAACTTAGACGAACTGTAAAATGAATATGCGCCGATGAATTGTGGAAAATACAGGCCAAGAATCGTTTTTTCCTTCCCTTTTTATGGTAAATTAAGGGGCGCATACTATCCAAGAGTGATGTACCGTGTCCAGCGTGCCATACTCACGGTATCCGAAAGCGCTGTACTCGCATTTTTGCCCAGTACGGTAGTAAGGACAGTTACATCTGTAGCCAGTGTATGGCCAATAGTAACTGTTGGTACGTATACATGTACCGCCATATTGGCAGGGGTTTTGGGAACAGGGGTCTGAAATTGTGAATATATTTAAATGAAGAGTAGTACCTGGCACTGAGACCAAAACTATAGTCATACTGGCAGTTGTTTTGAGAACAGGAATCTGGAATTTTGCATGTTTAAATGAAGTGTAAGATATTGCAATAATATTATATTATCGTATCGTTTGGATTTATAATAAATATCCTAAACTTAAACTGCAGGAACAGTACAGTAGCATGGGCGGACAGTTACAGACACGTATTATACACCTAAGAATGCATTTGCAAAAACTTTGTATTGTAGTTATACGAATATATATAATTATACCCGGTCCATTGCACTTAAGATTATATTTATTTGCAAAAATAATGGCAAAATAAAAAACGACGGCACGTATAAAAAGGCTTACCGTATGTTGTTGCTTCCGGCATTTCTGAACATGAAATGGAAATATTTCAATTGAATGTTTAAAACTCTGTGATGGGACTAAATGCAAAATATACGGCAGTTGACTTAATGTTAGACAATTTATTCTAATATATATGGATTCATACCATTACATATAATACTACATAACATGAACATATTTTAGACTTTTACTACATGATTTCACACCCATACCAGTTGTGATTTCGTTTGCCGCCGTGGTTTCTTCTGTAAAAGATGAAAAATACATAAAATACGTAGTAAATATTTGTTGCTCCGTCTTTGACTGCAGTTATTAACCAAATGCTGCTTCTTGAAAAATGCTTTACTTGTTGTTCAACTATCAGGTGCTTTATCACGTGACAAAATGGTAAATATTTCTATATTAGTTTTACAAATACTTTTCCGACGCGGACTTTAAACTAGGGTATAAATATAAATTGGAGGATATTTTGGTTCTTAATTGAAAAACCAAAAAATAAAATGCACTTTTATAGAAAAAAATCAACTTACGGTATCCATAAGCACCGTACTCGCATTTTTGCCCAGTACGGTAGTAAGGACAGTTACATCTGTAGCCAGTGTACGGCCAATAGTAACTGCTGGTACGTACACATGTACCGCCATACTGACAGGGGTTTTGGAAACAGGGGTCTGGAATGGAAGAGGTATAAATGGATTCTGACAAAGATTCCTATGTGTAATAATGAACAACATATGGCATCAATCCCGCAAGAAAACGCAGTAGATACTCCAGCGCAGTAGACTACTGCAATCATACTGCAAACCGCAGTAGACTACTGTATTCATACTGCAAACATGCTTCAAATCTGCTTCAATTTGGGAACTAATTAGCATATTTGAAACATGCTTCTATCATGCTGCTAATCTACTGCATTAATGCTCCTCTCTGTACAAACCTATGTACTTTTTGGAGTAGAATTGCAGTAGGCTATGCTGCATTTCTACTGCAAATATGCTCCACACCACTACTGCGTTAATGCTTTTTTGCTACTTCGATACTACTGCATTTTCGTGCGGGATATATCAAGCGTTTTGGGAGCAGGCTCTGGAATAGACCCCATATACATATACTACCAAGGCCTACCATTCCACTTACAGAGTAAAATGGTTATCTTCAGGTTTGCAAACTTTAAATACGGGTACAGTGGGGCAGCATTATCAAAGATACTTCTTCAGAACACGTGCATATCTGTGCTTTTAAAATGCATATATTTAAGTTTATGCTCGTGTGAAAACTACAACATAGCCATAGCAGAAAAAGACACGTCGAATAGAAAGACTCACCGTATGTAGTTGATTCAGGCGCCACTAAACATAAAATAGGATAAATACATTTTAAATAGTTAAATATCATTTATAGTTATATATGCCCCAAAAATATTGGACTTCGCGAAGATCTAAAATCATTTTACCATAACCCTGAACCAATCAAAAAAAGTGTTTAACTCACAAAATCCTATATCACACAAACTTTTAATAAACAATATAATGTGTTGACTGGATCGACTTGACTGAATAATAATAAATACATGTACCTGTTGTTGTAATTCCTTCTGCCGCAGTGGTTTCTTCTGTATAATAATAATAATAATAATAATAATAATAATAATAATAATAATAATAATAATATATGAAACAATGAACACAATATCTTGTAAGAATTTTAATTCTATATTTCATTTATTAACCAAATATCGCTTGCTGATGACATACTTTACTAGTCTTGAAAAAAAAAAAAAAAAATATATATATATATATATATATATATATATATATATATTGTGTTTTATCATTGACTTGTTGATTTGTCAGCTTCATCTTTGGAAATATGTTAAAATGGTACATACCTTAATTATCAATCTTATTAATACTATCCTTATGTAGTCATTAGAGTAAGTATTACAATCTATAATTATAAGTGACCTCTCACTGTTAGAAGATAGTATAGCTATAACTGATGCGCCGTTATTTTTGACAGAAAAAAATCAACTTACGGTATCCGTAAGCGCTGTACTCGCACTTTTGCCCAGTACGGTAGTAAGGACAGTTACATCTGTAGCCAGTGTATGGCCAATAGTAACTGTTGGTACGTATACATGTACCGCCATACTGACAGGGGTTTTGGGAACAGGGGTCTGGAAAGGGATTTTGGAAATTTCAGACGGTAAAAAGTTCAGATTTTCAATTTAATTCAAGACGCAGAGGGTATTGGTGCGTGCAGAGGTCACTTTGAAATACGATAGGTTTGTATCATCGATTTTCCTCTAGAATATGCAAGGAGTAATATCACTTTAAAAGCGGATTTGAAAATCGTGTACAACTATTACGTATCCATGGCATCGGTAATGAGGCTATAACAATGAGAAGGGCTAGAAATGAAAGGCTTACCGTATGCAGTAGTCATCTCAGTGGGAGGATTTCCAGTAGTTTGCCGACCTAAAACAAACACACAAAAGCCTATCACATTAAGTTTTTAATATAGATAAAATAAATAAGCATTTTAACAACTTTAAAGTTATGTCTTAAAAAGAATTACTTAAAGATACATTATTGAAAGACTACGTCATTATTTGTGACCAATCAGAAAAAAAAAATGATACAATTCATGATCAGCGCAATAATGTCAAATGACAGGGAAACATGCTGCAACGTTTGATGTTATATTGATGTTATAAAATGCATGAACTTCGATAGAAGGCTGGGTTACAAAAACAATATTCCTCAAATAGACAAATAAATTAATAACTGGATATTTATGGGGCACATGAGCAAACTACAATGTGGGATTTGTGGAAAGATAGAATTTGATTTGAGCTTTCAAATTACACATCATGCAGACTACAGTTATTTATTTCACATTTCAGGAATGCTGCTCAGAATTTAAATGTGTCATGGATTCTACCTAATGCATCAAAACTAATGATTGTGCGACTATCAAAATTAATTACGAAAGTAGAACCAATAAAGACTATTCTTGTTTATTACAACTGACGTCATCCAGACAAAGTTTACTATGATCAGCAATGTCTAAAACGACCATTGTCGTTAATTAATAAAGAGCACACACTGTATTGAGAAGAACCTGGTCAGCTCCTACAGTAGGGATATTCACAAGACACTGCGGCCGAATTAAACACCTGCATGGTTGCTTAAAAAACGTCCCTTTCTCAAAACAGCTTTATGTGTATATATTTGCAAGGTTCACATACGGCAGATAAAAATTTAAAAATGCGGCATAAGATAATCGTGTACATGCTTGCTGATTTAATGTATCATTCGGCATGTAGAGGGTTTCAACAAACGCTATCTGTTCAGAAATATCACAGCACGCACCTTGGATAACATTGTCGCAGGACTCCCATGTTAAAACCACCTGAGCGCATGTGTAACTCGTTCAAAGTATAAATCTTTTCATACAGGTGTGTTGTTTCCATAAACATTTTATGAGCTTTGGGGACATTAGTGTAAAGAGATTTTCTTTATTTCAGTGTCATAGAGGAGAAACCGACGTCCGGAATAAACATACAGCAATGAGCATAGCGTGCCCGTCAAATAGTGCGTCTTTATCTTGCATGTGGTGGTCCCCACCGCTTTTGATATGAATTATTGTATACTGGAGAAATGCGAGCGGAATTTAGGCATTGAATGTAAGTCCCCATGGAGAATAAAAAGCTAATTGTTTTTAATGGAACCTGTAAAAATTACATATTTCCTGTGGATACAATGGATACATACATACTTAACATTTAATATGGAACAAAACTTTCCAAGTGCATGGCATTCGAAGTGTATTCTAACTGCACTATGGGTCGCATTCTTAATATTCGTACGGTATTCCTAATGTGTTCCAACTACATTTGAGCTGCATTTGAGAGTTAGGACAACCAAAGGGTGCACAAATCATTCTAGGTAGGATCGAAGCGCATTCTGAGTATTCCAACGGTATTTTTACAAGAATTAAGGTCATTCCCATTGAATGAGGCACCAATTTTAAATGTTTTCATTCCGGATCACTCTGCTTGATTACTGCTGATTCCGAGTAAGTGTGACAGGGGCTTTATATAGTGCCTTCTGGTCTCAGTGACATTCGTATCGACGCTTTCATGGTGTTGATAAGATACTCTTAAACTACACAACTGAAACTAAGTACCATTCTAATGTCAAGAGGTTGAGGAAAGAGGTTGATGCCACCTGACAAATTGTATCTGTTCTGACGAAAGGAAAATTAGACTGGGTTCCCATGCCTAGATCGATCCATCTGGATCGGTCTAACTGCCTGCAGAGTCTCACAAAACCGTCCTAAATGTTTGTCACGCCTACCGAGTCAGCTAGGGGGTAAAGATAAGTACCACTAAAAGCTTTACAAGACGTGACAGACATATAAACTGGTTTAGTTTATAGCAATTTAGTGAGACTTCCCAGAAGATAGGTCCATCAAAATATCTGTGGGAACGGTCCCTCACACAGCATAACATATTTTCTGGTACATGTACACATCCATGAAGGTATTTTCAGCATTGTTTTTAATACCAAACTGTTATCCATGAATTCAGTATGTACATAATAACCATTATTTGCGTTTATCTTAGACTCGAATCGTGTATTTTCTGTATATGGTTGTTTTAAATAGCATATTCTTACAGATATCAATCTACCAATATCAAAATTGTCTTGAATATGCTAATATTTGAACTCTGCAACCCCCAAAACATATGAAAAGACATAGAATCCACATTTTTAAAAAATGCCACTTGTCTATTCACGTATCTTATATGAGATCGGAGGTTTTTTTTTTTGAAAAAATAACGCATCTTTACTGATAGACTTTAAAAGCCTTTATTAGAATAAATTATGCTTATATTTTGCCCTATATGGCGCACATAAACGCCATGTCATTTACTCACCATAAAGTTCACACCTCTTTCCGTATCTCGCCCAGGGACACGTGCAGTTGTAGTCCATGTAATAATAAGGCCAGTAAGAAGCTTTTTGTGGGACACATGTACCTCCATGGAAACATGGGTATGACGTGCAAGGATCTTTTAAGAAAAAATTTAAAAAAATAGAAACCAGATCAAAAACATGCAAGGGTCTCGTAAGAAATATAGAAGAAATCACAATACCAGTAGACACACACAAACACCCTTTAATGCTGTCGTTATGATATGTTCCATCGGTATGTTCTTTCAGTGGCATTAGTGTTAAGTCGGTGCGTGTCTAGATGTCTTCAAACACGACAAACACTTGAGAACTTAACGTAAAAAATTAGATCCGGTCATTTATACAGAAGTGTGCTCTATAATACCATTTACATAAAGCAATGTTCTAATTTTAAAATGTTTTCGCACAGAAACTGATTCCTAAAGTAGATGAGTTCTCACATGATACCAAAAAAACTTAGTCGACCAATTGGAAGCGATGTGCCGCATGTACCTGGCAGGATTACATATTCACAATCCCGCCCCGCGTATCTAGTCTCGGGACATTTGCAGATGTAACCCACGTAGCCATAAGGCCAGTAAGGAGATCGTTGTGGTACACATGTACCTCCATTTTTACATGGGTAGGAAAAGCAAGGACCTGTATAAATAAATAAATGAACAAATAAANGTGTTTTATGTTATATCTTATTTGAGTATAGCCATCAAGGGAGGTCACGTGGTCTAAAGACAAGCTCAGGTATCAGAATAATAGCTGTAAATGCCGTTTTTGTAGTAAAACAGAATATATTATATTTCTATGAGTTGTTGGTGTGTTTTTATATAGATATAGAATATAGATCTCATACGAAAAGTTATTATCCCTTTAATTTTGGGCAAAGTAAACAATACTGATGCACATTTCAAATTAATAAATAAAAAACACTCACCGTTTTGAGAATGCCCTGGGCAGCTACGGGTGTATGAGTACCCACAAGACACCGCGGCATCTTCAGAGTGACTACAGTCGTCATAAGCAAAAGTTCGGTGGCTACATGCTGATAAAGAATTTTCTTCTCCAGTGCAATTAACATCATCTAGAAAAATAGACCCATCGCCCTGCCCATAACAGGCCGACTGGTACGCTTTTGCATAACGGTCACTAAAATGCAAGGAAAAGTTACGTAACGTACTTTCTCTCTCCTTCTTTCCACATATATATATATATATATATATATATATATATGTGTGTGTGTGTGTGTGTGTGTGTGTGTGTGTGTGTGTGTTCCGGTCACAACCAGACGTACGATTTTAAGGACCTACGTACCCTACAAAATTTGCGTGCAGTGGAGTTCCTAGAAGTAGATGAAAGTTTGCAATGGAAAGGCCCGAGTCTGCCTTGCGAGTCACAGGGGCCAATTGAGATGTCCTTTGGAACAGGGACACTAACTGCAAATTGCGATGGCCGCGTGAGTTGTACTCATTTTTGAGTTTGTTTTGTTACATGTGTACGTGTTATGCATTCACAACTTACGAAGAGAATGAAACGCACGGCGAAAGTAGTTCCCTATGTGTCAGTTTTACTTCACACTAGCCTGTTGTGATGGCGTACTGATCACGTTTATAAGTTTTGCCTTCTGTTCACCCCTTTTTTCTTCTTCCTTCTTTTCTGCAGTATTCTCTCTTTCTTTTGAAGACACATTAGAGGTTAAATTTAGCTTTTTTTTAATTTATTTTTCAATTTTTTTTACCAAACTAGGAAACAGTATGAACAATCACATTGCACAATCGACACATTGCACATTGTTGTGGCTCAAGCGCGCGTCGTGAGCACGCCTTTTATACTCAAGGCGTAGGGATGAGGCATTTGCGAAGCATTTTCAGTGTGAGTTCGACTTTGTTCGTCAGCTGTGAGGCCGGCGCGTTATTCAACACTCACAGGGGACTTGCTCCTTCATTGTTTACGACGTGCAGCTTGGACCACGCACGTCGTAAACAATGTCCAATGTCGTCCAATTTCATAAGAAGGACTTGAGTGGGGTTTAAGAAACTTCGCAAACTTTGAACCCCAACAGCCCGTCATAGCCCGTAAAGCCGGTTGTGACCGCGGTTTAACGTACTTCCCTTTGGATCCTTGGAGGTTATAGAGTGAGAGGAACGATTTGAATGGAACAGCGAATGTTTCATTTGAGAGTCGCAGGGGCCACGTGAGATGTCCCTATTCAAGCAGGGGCACTAATTACAAGGAGCGATTGCCCTGGGAATTGTACTCAGTTTTTGAGTTTGTCTTACTTCCTGTGTACGTGGAACGCACTCACCCCTTACTTATACGAAGAATTAGGGAACGCAACCCACAGCGAATGTAATTTACACTTGTGTTATTTCTGTCGAAAAATTGCCTCACACACTTGTGATGACGTTCTTACGACATACGTCAGTTTTGCCTCCTGTTCTTTCCTCCTTCCTTCTTTTCTGCTCTGTAAGCTTCTTTGTAAGTGCAACACGTGCATTAGTTAGACTTCAGAGTAGATCAGAGTATTATAGTGAGGTATGTTCATGTGTCACATGACACACAGGTATAAAGTTGAACTACACCCTAACAGTTCAGTACAGCGACACAGGTCTCCCCAGAGCATATTGTTTTATGTTTAATTCTGTTTTAGTTCACATCAGTTTAAATCAGTTTTTGTTAGTTTTCAGAAGTTATCAACAGTTTTTCTACAGCAAAATACAATATGTCCACTCCAAGAAAGTATTATAGTTTTCAACGGTACGGTCACGGCAACAATAAAACAGTTACCTGGGGAATATAGAAGAAGACACTGAGAAATCTGTCATTTCTTCGCTGAAGACACGGTTTAGAGCGTTCCCTTCATCCTATGCAAAAGCCAAGGCCAAAGCAAAAAACTTTAGAGGTACATTTGTAATATGCAAAGAAACAAACTGAACTTAAACGTCACCGAGCTTTGCTAGACGCTGAAATTGAATTATTTTGGATGCAGCAACCGCTGCGGCAAAATCCTCTGCTCTTGGCACAGATTCACATAATTCTAACTCTCGTCTAAAATCTCTTTTTAGACTGCCTATGGACAAAACAAAAACTGAAAAATACGTAGAAACCGTCCAAAGTCAAGACACCAAAATGCTGCTGACATAAACGACCCCCACAGTATGAGTGACGGAATGGACCCCATGGTGTGACTAACGGCAATGTTCCTCTCGGTTTAGCTGTCACTGCGGATTCCCACGGTCCATACGGAAACCCATTTTGCGTCAGATTTCGTTCCTAGCCAGTCGCGACAAGGCATGTTCAGTGACTTTCTACTTTATCTTCGCGGTACGCCCAGATATGTTTCTCGCGGACCAGAAGTACCAAATTCGTTCCTTCCAAATGGCCCTCACGGAATGCCCGTATTCTTTTCTCGCCAATACATGTGCCCTATTTTTTGCATCCTGCCCTTACCTTGCCAGAGATCCCGGTGTTTAAGGGTGATGTTTTGATTTATAGAGCATTTATGATTCCTTTTGAAACTAAAATAGAATCTTGAGTTGTATCAAACAATGACAGATTGTACTACCTTTATCAATACACAGATGATGAACCGAAATAATTGATAGATGGCTGCATGTCGCAATATACCAGATGGGTATAAAAGGGCACGCAAATTGTTGCAAAAAGAGCATGGTAACAAGTACAAAGGCATGTTTGAGTAAACTCTTAGCATGGCCCGCTTTTAGAGCGGAAGATAGTGTTGCTATTAAAGTGCTCTCAGTGTATCTAGTCAAGTGCCATTCTGCAATGCTTCATCTAAATTCATTTACAGGTTCTTAACCATGCCCCCACATTGTTAAAGAAAGCTCTCCATGAATTCCCAGAACCGTTGGAGGGGTATTGTATCAAAGGTTGTCAGAGAAGAAAAAAGGTCTGCAGTGTTTTCAGATATGGTCACCTTCAATGAACATGAAATGGAGCTAGTCAACGGCCAAGTATTCGGAAGGGAGACACTTAAATCCGAGGGCCCCAGTGTGCAGACGACTCACTTTCCACAGACAAAAACAGAAAGGACGAAAGGCCCGTCACCTATGAGGAGAACTCACACATTTCTCAACGCCACGGACCATTGCACATCCGCCAGGTTCAAGTTTTACCGTGATCACTCATCAGGTGTGCCCCCCTTGTCAACAACCTCACAGGCTGAACGAATGTAGTGCTTTCTCAGAAATGCCCTCATCCGAGATAAAACAACTTTTATTCAGCAATCATCTTTGTATGGCATGTTTGGAGCCCAATTGCATTGCTTAATGGTGCTTGAGTACACTTACATCGCACCCTACATCGTTACATGAGCCTGATTTTCAATGATATAATGCAATTACTAGCTAAGGTCAATGTGGAAAATACTGCTGTCAATACTTCAAACAGCACATCTGCGTCAGTAAATGTGCATGGTGTATTCCATAAATTGCGTATTGTATTCGATTGTAGTGCACGATACAAGGACACGTGGTTGAAAGATCATTTATTGAAGGGACCTGACATGACCAACTTTCTAATTGCATGGAGTTCTGCTGAGACTCGCCAAGAAACAGTCGCGTTCACGTGTGACAGTACATGTTTTATCGATTTCGTGTCAACAAAGAGCACCGCCACTATTTGAGATTTCTTTGGTTTAAGTACAATGACTTTGAATCAGAACCTGTTGGCTACCGTTTTTGTGTTCATTTATTCGGAGCAACCTCTTCTCCCGGCTGTGCATTATTTGCTTTAAAAAAGATGTCCACCTCACACAAACATCAATGCGGCCCCAATGTGAAACACTTTATTCACCGGAATTTGATGTCGACTGCTACTAACGGATCCCATAGAACTTGTTCGCCGATAGTGAAAACGCAGTGATAAGCGAGGTATTCGTCTTCACAAGGTCACCTCGAGCTCTAATGTAGTTATCCAAACAGTTCCTCTTGGTGATCGGACCCGCGATTGTGATGTCATTGGAATGAATGCAGACAAGTACGTACCTGAGAGAGCCCTTGGTGTTCAGTAGTTCGTATATGTTGACCAGCTTCACTTCCGAATACTACTCAAGAATAGGTCATTAACTCGACGTGGCGTATTGTCTACTATTAGCTCGACCATTGATCCACTTGAGTTTGTTGCTTCAGTTGTCATAGTCGACAAGCGCATTTTACAAGATCTGTGTGCTTAGAATTTAGACTGGGACGATCCCATACCCGGCAACCTACGATCACGGTGGGAGCAATGGAGGCTTGGTCTTCGCTCATTGGAATCCATCGGTTTGAAACGTTGTTAGAAGCCACCTGTTTTTGGTTCAGTGTCGATTGCTGAAATGCACCATTTCTGACGCCAGCACAGGAGGCAACGAGCAGTGTTCGTATCTACGGCTCGTGAAGAGGACAAAAAGAATATTGTTTACTCGTGAGTGAAAGCAGGATAGCACCGCTTAACGCCATTTCCATTCTGTGACTTAAGGTGACAGCATCTGCCGTATCTGTGAAAGTGGCTTGTTCCCTACGTTCCGAGCTGGAATTTGAGAAACTGACTGAATACTTTTGAACAGATAGTCTGAATACTTTTGGACATACAGCAGGATAGTACACGGGTACGTCAATAACGAGACACACGGATTCCACTCTTACGTAGCCAACAGGGTATAGATGATTAGGGACTTCACCGAGCCAAACCAGAGGTCATACTTTTCATCGGAGAGCAACCCAGCTGACGCTGCCTCACGAGGACTGCTTGTCGTCGATCTAGCTAATCATGAGCATTGGTTTCACTGTGATTTAAAGGATAAACAGATACAGACGTTGAAATATTTGTACTACGGACATGAGACTGGCTGTTTTACCGACGGGTTATGGTAAAATGCTGAAAGTAGTTCCTTTCCAACAATCATCGATTAATATGGATGCCATCGTATCACGTCCGAGGTTATTTTCGAGTGTGGAGACATCCGAGTAGTTACAAGTGATTCACTTTGAGGTAGCCATCGCGCCGACAACGGACTTGTTGCGTCGATTTCAAGCAATATAAGGGCAGTTCTGGTTACTAAGTTCTGATTGCGGTATAAATTTCACTGAGGCCAACAGTAAAAGAGCACTCAGTGAAATGGATCAACCTACTTTCTCAGAATATTTAAGGGAACGACAATGCGATTTCATTCAATTTGAGTTTAATGCACCGTCGTTCAGCATGCAGGCGGACTCTGAGAATGTCAAATCCGAACTATGAGAAATGTTTATTCTTCTTTGCTTGCGCAGTCACAGTCTTAATTGAACGACGAGTCATTACGAACATTGATGAATTAAGTGACCGCAATTGTTAATTGCAGACCACTTACTTCTGACAACCTAAATGGCCCATGTTCCCTTGAGCCATTAACCCCCAACCCCTTCTTAACCACCAAACTATTCTCCTGCCTCATGGTGAATTCCAGAAAGCAGACAGATTTGTGGAAAGCACTGTGGAAGGGTTCAGTATTTATGATATCTGTTTTGGTATAAGTGGCGCAAATAATATTTGCAAATCTTACAAATGAGACAAAAATAGTAAAGGCCCAGACGCAATATCTGTNTTTTTTTTCTAAATAAAGGCTAGGTTTTACCTAGAAATCTTTGGTCAAGATTTGGGTGTATCCCAATTATAATGAACAAGACAAGTAATGAACATGTAAGAAAGGTCAAGGTATAGCAATAAAGTTAAACTTCCGTCCTAACAGCCCAGGTCACTAAAATGGGTCTCCCCAGACCATATTGTTTAATATTTAATTCGGATTTAGTTCACATCAATTTAAATCAGCTTTTGTCAGTTTTCAGAATTTTTCAATTTTTTTTTTTTCTTATTGAAGGGGGTGAGGGGGGACAAGTTACCCCTGCGACATGTCCAATATCTTCCGTATATTCGATCGATATTTCACTAGAAGAACTTGAGTGGCACGAGAGATTCTGCATAAAATTTGGACGCAACACAGGTCGTAGGAAGCAGTACAGAGGTTGTGAGTGAGATATTATGAAGAGCACCGTAAATACTGTTACCATATCTTGACAAAACATGTGAAAATACATATCAAAGCTTAAATGCGAATATATAATGTGGCAATCGTTGAATTAACTTATAATTGGTATTACCCAAATCCAAGTGATCTACATATGACCCTAGCGGCATTATCGTCAAATCCGTCGTCACACACAGTCCCCCAGCTGCCATGGGGTTCAAAGTAAACTTCCACGCGTCCCTCTCTACTGCTGCGACCTCCAACTAAACGAACTGGGAATTCTGGAGTAATAAGGAGTATTTTTCATTATCGTAATATAATCCTTACCATTACCGCGCCCATAAGCAATTTCTAAATATAATGTTCATTACCTCTACGTTAAGCACAAAAACACTTTGAAAAACTATCAATTATTGTAAGATAGAAAACGCTAATTTAATCCACACTGATAACTAAACACTGCTAGCAATTGCAGTGTACATTTGATGTTATAGGATATGATATGATTTTTTGAAACGGGGCATACCATTAGATTCGCATCTCTTCCCGTATCTACCCCAAGGACAGGCGCAGGCGTAGTCGTTCCCTTGTGCAACACACTTGCTTCCATTATAACATGGGTTCGAAGAGCAAGAGTCTAGATAAAAATACACCAAGAGGCATTGTTCTACAAATTCTATCACTAATTTGCCGCATATGTTATCTGATTAAATGATTACCTTATATATAAGGTAAATAAATGCCCCTTCCCTGAAATCATATATTTACTTATGTACGTACCTTTATAATCTTGGAAAATGAATTAATGATTCCAGTCCCCAGTTATGTTTTCTACCGATGGTAAAAAGTACTGGCCAAGAATTTCAATGTCAACACACACACACACACACACACACAAACACATCTATCTATCTATCTATCTATCTATCTATCTATATTTCCAATTCATCGTTTAAACTCCGAAAAATCTCCAGGTTAAATTTTATATTATGAATCGTCGATATTTATCATATATTTTTGTGTAGTGAGAAGTGTTCACGTGTCACATGACTTGCCCACAGGTATATATTTTAACTACCGCCCTGACATTTTTTTCAGTTCTGCGACTCGGTCTCCACGGTTCATATTGTTTTAAGTCTCGCTATTTTTTTTTTAAGTTCAGTTAAGATAACTAAGCGAAATACAATATATGCAGTTCAAGAACACTTTTTTCTAGTTTTTAACGGTTACGGTACGGTCACGACAACATATACAACATTGGTCAAAAAGGTTGTCCCATCATATATCATGTGTTTTTATTTATAAATGGTACGTCGCATCACAGATGTAGAATTTAATAAATAGTGATTTTCATTCCAGATACGATAACTAACATGGTTAGTGGTACAGAAAATACAAACTAGCGGTTAAGATATCCATATTTAATACCATTTATTCACATTTATAACATGTACCCCCTCAAATCTGACGTTTCACTGTGATATTCACAGAGGTAAAAAAAATGTACATTAAATTGAAATGACGGCACCAAATGTCACCCATTTAGCATTAGGGGGTGCTCGTTAAAGGGCATGTGCCTATTAGCGTGTGCGGCCACCGTGCACTGTAATTATCTCCTGTAGTCGGCGTCACTGCCTTCAACAAGGGTAACAATTCTGTTTTGAGAGACATTGCCCTATGTTTTCTAAAACGCTTGGCGGAATTGGTCGGATTATTTGGGGCTCGGATCTCCTATGAATTGAACACTTCAATTCACGTCATGGGTGTTCAATAGGTTTATTTCCAGGATTCAAAGATGGTTTCTCTAGCCTTAGAACATTTGATTTCTGCAACAAATCACTCACCACATGAGAATTGTGTGCAAGTGTGCTGTTATGATGAAGACTGGATCACCCCTGAAGTTCCCTATCGCAGATGAAATGAGGTATCAGTTGATGATGTTAGGTTCAGTGACCCCAGAACTACCAGAACTTGATCAACTATCTCTAGAAACAAGTTGGTTTTGCTAAAGAATCAAGATATTTCTTGTGTGCCTTTGATGGTCAAATTAGGGCCCGTAAACATGTTGCACAATGCTTTTGGGAAAGTTTGTACAGGATGATATCGCCTGAGGTGAAAGGTCAGTCCACGTTTGGAGATAATTCCAAGCCCCTGGTTTTGGTGCATTGTTCTTTCCGGAAAAGAACGTTGTTGGGACAATTCCCCGAAACGTTCTCACAAATATCTCTATCCATTAGCAAGAGGTGGAAATGAACTTGCCCACAGCTCTCGTCTGCTGAGTGATTTGTTGCAGAAACCAAATGTTCAGAGGATGAGGCAACCACCTTTAAGCCCGGTTATTAACCTTACTAAACATCTGTGACATGAATTGAAGTGTGCAATGCAAAGGAGAATCAAACTCTTAATAATCTGGATCAACACCCCCAAGCTCTTTGGGAAGAATGGTACAATATCCATAAAACAGAATTGTTACCCTCGTTGAAGCCAGGCCATGCCTCCTACAGGGGGTAATTACAGTACGCGGTAAATACACACGCTAATAGACATGTGGGCCCAGTTTTATAAAGGACGTTTAGCACTAACCAGTGTTTAACTCTAACCAGTGGTTAAATTCTCCTAAACCCTGTTAACTGAACGACGGATGAAATTGCTTTATAAACAGTGTTTAAACAGTCCGTTAGTTAACTTATGTTTAAATAATCATTTTATCCAGTTAAACACTGACCAGCTAACTAATTGGCTGTTTGAACACTGTACATGAAAAACAATTTAACCATCTTTTAGTTAATGGGTGTTAGGAGAATTAATCCGCTGGTTAGGCTTGTCCACTGGTTAGTGCTAAACGTCCTTTATAAAACTGGGCCGTGATCTTTAACGAACACACCCTGATGCTAAATGTGCGTGAATTTGTTGACATTTGCTGGTGTCATTTCAATTTAATGTGCATTTCTTTACCTCTGTGAAAATCACAGTGAAACGTCGAACTTGAGGGGGTGCTTGTAATAAATGTGAATAAACATAGTATTAAATATTGATTTCTTTACCGCTAGTATGTATTAACTGTTTCACTAATCACGTTAGTTATGGTATCTGAATGCAAATCACTATGTATAACATTTAACTCCCGTGATGTGATCATTTATAAATAAAAGCACATGAAATTGGGGGTGGGACAACCTTTTTTACCAATGTTGTATATCCCATTGTCATTATTTTAAGATGTTCGTTCTTACCTGTACTTATGACACAAGATAATAATATCCATTTTATGTGATAACTAAATTATGTAAGTTATAATAAATATTGAGGATTAATTATAAAACATTTAACATGAAAGATTTTCAGAGTTTCGATGAATGATTTTCCTGCCTATCTTGTTATTCCCGTTGGAGAAATAATATATAAATTAAAGCTGCCTTATCGGACAGTTATTAACCGAATGTCACTTGCACTGTAATACCATACCAGTACCTGTGTTTAATGAACAACTTGTTGATAAGCCTTGTCGAAAGACTTGTCGAAAGACTATACATTGATAAATACTTGAACCTTTAGTGTTTTTTTTTTTTTACAAATTTGCCTTAATATGCCTTAAAAACCTAAAAAGTATAGCAATTTGGAGGATATTTTGGTATTTAAATATGCGTACACGTTTGGTAACAAATCGTTATTAGATCAATTGTTTTCCACTCACCGCCAATGCTGTACTCGCACATCTCCCCTGTACGGTTGAAAGCACAGTTACATCTGTAGGCAGAATACGGCCAAAATGTACTGTTGGTACGTATACATGTACCGCCATAATGGCAAGGGTATGAAGCACATGGGTCTAGAATGAAATATATATATATAGTATATATATATACACTCTTTTGTAAAGCATACCTCACATGAACCATATAGCTGTTGATGCGTGCTTGTGGCACTTTAGACAAACTGTTACTCAGATGTATTTCACAAATAATCTTCTACAGAATGTGTTAGGAATACAGCTTTGCCTAACAAGTAATAATAAATGTGTTGGCATTTTGTGGGCGGTGCAAGTAATAACTTTATATATAACATGGTAAAGGCAAGTGCGATTGGAATGCTTACCGTAGCTTTTCTCACAGTTTACACCCATTCGGTCATAAGGACATATACATTTGTAATCAGTATTTTCATAATTGATACGGAGTTTACGTACACAGGTGCCGCCACTCTGGCAGGGGTTTGGGGAACAGTGGTCTGGAATGAGATAGCATGTGGGGTGTTAGTGAAGTTACCGGGCCTTCATCCAATGATTTAAAGGCACTTATAAAATAAAATAATTATAGGGAATCTTTAAAATTCGTTTAAAAAGTGTTCATACAGTTACCCACCAGGAATGGCGGTGCCATTGTAGCAATTCACCCCGACATCTCCACCGTGGCCACAGTCGTGTACACCCAGATCTCTGTGAGGACAGTCGAATATGCTGGACTCGTTGCCTGTGCATCGCAGGTCGTCCAGCCATATACGGCCATAAGCAAGATTACCCCAACCATGTCTGTATACTCTGGCTTTGTTCGGGCTATAACATGTGTACATTTAGTAGCTTTGAAAATCATCACATGGGTTAAGGAAGAGGTAAGAGAGATCCCCCCCCCCCAATGTATCGCAAGTTTGAATTCTGAATGGTTAAACCGCACACTCATTGTACATTTTGGGGTAAAAACACGACTATAAAACCCATAGTTAAAACAACAAAATTACTTGTTTTGCAGTATTTCATTCTGCATTATACAACCAATGGATGGGCATGGAAATGATGCCACTCTTTCGGTAACACTGGTTAAAGAACATTCACCATTAAATGTTCTCTCATTCAGAGCTGTTATTAAAGCCACGCAAGGACACATTATTGACAATAAAACTTTAATGAAAACCACACCTGTATCCCAGCAAACGGCATACAACCTCTGCTTCAGTGTTGCCAAAGCCATCGTCACAAACTGTCCCCCACTGACCATCATGATAAACCTCCACTCGGCCTTCGTTGCTACTCCTTCCACCTACTAAGCGGATCTTTTTCCCTGTAAACTGATCTGAAATGGCGAGTGTTTAAAAACAAGCATGACCAATTCATTCACTAGCACGAATTAGATATGCACTCTTGCTCACAATGATGGAATATGTAAAAAATGTACGTATGCCTCTAACGCAGGCATATATGCCCTGAGTGTCAGGGCGCTGGAAAGCTAGCTTGCTAACTATTCATAACTTTTCATGGAAAAGCTTTACCAGGGGCCCTAAGAAATAATGTTGCGTATCTGTCAATCAAAAAGAACTGCTTAAATTTTGCTTAGCTCCAGGCGGGAAAGAGTAGTGATTTACGAGACTTGTGACTTCCAAATATGGAGTTCCAGGCGGACACATCTGAGACACACGACAAAAGTGCCAACCAAATATGGAGCTCCAGGCGGAGACAGCTGTGACGTATGAGACAGCTGTGACTTCCAAATATGGAAGCGCCCCAGGTATTTTTTTTTCCGAACATGCACCCAGGTTGACGTTAGTGGCTGAAGTCAGTTTTGTTGATAAAGGTTATATAAGGAACCAATTTCGAGCTGGCAAAACCGAAATCTAAAACCTACATATATAGCTGGAAGTAAAATTTTGCACAGCAGGTCTGAAGAGTGACTATACCCGTCGTTAATACCAAAGAAGAACTTGGTAAGTTGTCAGGATATAGTGTGCCAGACGCAAACAAAAGAACAATGCTGTTCACCTTGAAATGGTTCAAGATCCGCTATATTTAATTTGATTTGCTGTATTTAAGATGTAAAGTGAAAAAATATATATATATTTCGAAAAGAAAAGATAAATTCAATGTTTTTGTATTTTTTGCTTGTCAAATAACATTTAGTCCTGAGATATACACGTGCACAATACACGTGCTTGCCGTGTGCCAAATTTGACAGCTACACTGTATGCCCGATACCACTATAAGGGCTGCGCAATTGATACACCAAAATCAGTTTTAAAGCAGAATGTTGCTTGTGTTGTGGCACTGACCTCCGTCTGTAATATATTTTCAATTCAAACTTCTAACTCCGCGCCAGGCAATTTGCTTCTTGTCTCGTCTGCACGAGATAACTTCAGCGCAAGGCGGGAAAGGCAGCTCCAGGCGGCCAAACCTGTGACGTACGAGACTTATGACTTCCAAATATGGATCCAGGGGGATACAGCTGTGACGTGTGACTTCCAAATATGGAAGCGCCCCAAGTAAAATTTTGAAGAAGAACGCCCTCAGATTGTCGCTGTTCGTCAGAGCTAGAAAAATCGACTTCATCACAAGGTATATTTAACAAGGTAGCTTTTATGTTGCTCTGACACTCAGGGTAATTATCCCCTGGCCATGATTGAGACTATTTTCAACGTCATTTACATGCTCTTTAATCGATGTGTCCTTTGCTACAAAAATTGGATTTTTTGTAATTGTAAAGTTGGCAAAACTACAACTAAAAAGAGGAAAACCCAAATTGTAAAAATGACAAAACAACAACCCAAAGAGGGAATATTTGTATTTTTAAAGTGACACAGCTACAAACAAAAAGTGAAATTTTGGAAATTGTTAAGTTGAAAAAAATACACAGTGTTTTACTGCATGTCATCATGTAAAATTGCGCATCAGTGTACATATACATGATACACTGGCAGTTAAGACATTATATGCAGCTCTGTATATTTTAAAAACCTTTGATATTCAACGTGATTTAAAGATCTGTAACTTGTGAATTGATTATTTTGTTTCCCGTAAACCGTGATCACCCCCCCTCCCACACACAAACTATTGGTACTCTCATATGCACGTATTAAAATATTAGGTTTAAATCTAGACAGTAAAAGCACTTTTGATGTGAACAGCACAAAGGCGACGTAAATCAATTTTAGGAGACATGGGACTAGGCTTGATCATCATGATGGAATTGCCCCATACACATTTAAACAAATGCAACTCACCGCTTTCCCGCAAGAAAATGCAGTAGTATCGAAGTAGCAAAGAAGCATTAACGCAGTAGTGGTGTGGAGCATATTTGCAGTAGAAATGCAGTATAGCCTACCGCAAATCTACTTCAAGAATTACATAGGGTTGTACAGAGGAGGAGCATTAATGAAGTAGATTAGCAGCATGATAGAAGCATGTTTCAAATATGCTAATTAGCTCCCACATCGAAGCAGATTTGAAGCATGTTTGCAGTATGATTGCAGTAGTCTACTGCGCTGGAGTATCTACTTCATTTTCGTGCGGGTTCATATTCACAATAACCGCCCCACGTGCCTACTGGACAGTTACAGTCTTGGGGTAAATCCGCATATCCTCCATTTTGACAAGCTATATTAAGAATCAAGTAAAATAAACTGATTATAAGCAGAGTATGACCATGGCAAAGCTACAGGTAGAAGCACAATCTGCATTGACAATCACACGTGCTGCAATTAAGTAAAATATAAAGATTTGGCATTAAATATGGAATATTTCAGTTTCAAAGGTACACATAGGTAAAATGGGTTCTTTTTTTTAAAGTCAGATCTTATATAAAATATCTGAAGAAATATATAGTCTGGTGTGTCCCTACCAATTAACTGACTACCGTGCCTCTTGCAGTGCTACATTGTGTTATATGCAGTGATTTAATTAGACAGTGCTCCTTAATACTGGCAAAAGCTTGGCCTGAAATATTATTCCAGATTAAACACTATTAAACACTTGGAAGCTTTGGTAGCATCCAGATGAGGTCAGGCGTACTGTTGCTGTAACTTTGTGGGGCGTGTAGCTCTTTTTAAGACCCTAATTTGGAAAATATGAAAATCCATATTAACGCTTTCAATGCCTGTCAAATGACATAGAATAGGCAGTGTATTTTTGTTTGCTTCAATGGCAAATTCAAGTAATGAACTGATATCACAATGACATCAAAGAGATTACTTAAATTTATCAAAATAAGATTCTAATCGGTAATTACGTTTATTAATCAGCAAAATAAGGAAATAATTATGATTAAAAAAAAAAAAAAACAAGTATGTTTGTATAGGTTGTTTAATACATTTGTTATTGAGTTGATAAATTATATGTACAGCAACACGAGACTAGGCATGTCAGTTAATTGTGGCTACACCCAAACATTCATATCTAAAATAGGTATAAGACAAGGAGATAACCTTAGCCCAGTCCTATTCAACATCTTCATAGATGACTTAAAAAGTGAACTCTACACAAACAATAGTGCAAAGGAAGTTGAAGGGTTAAAACACATTTTATATGCAGATGACCTAGTCTGCTATCACAGACGAAAGAAGGACTTAAAACTCTTCTTAACAACCTTGAAAATTACTGTAAGCAGTGGAAACTAAATGTTAATGAAAACAAATCAAAAATAATAGTGTTCAACAAGTCTGGTAGAATTGAGCCACACCTTCTTTATAAAAAGCAGACCAACAGAAATAGTCAAACAATACTCATACCTCGGGAAAGTCTTTACTAACACAGGCTCGCTAAAACATTCAATTGAAAATCTCAAGCAAAAAGCCCTGAAAGCCACGTTTTCTCTAAAGGGAATACTAGCATCACAAGAAATTTCATCACCCATACTTATCATGAATCTTTTCGACAAGATGATTGTCAGAGAATTAAGCTCTCCCGGGTGGGGAGATAAAAAAATGAGTGGGGAAGAAAAGTCGGGGCCGTGCGGTGCGTTACTGTTTCAGACAGAGTGTGGAAGCGTTTTAAGCGCTGTTGTTTTTCCTGACAGTATTGTTCAATGACACCACTTTGCCTTAGGACCTTTCATGCACCTATCTGTCATCATAAAGAAGTGCATTGTAATTCAGACCTGGGACCAGGCCAGTTCAATGATGTATTGGGTAAACACGATTACGCAAGGATATACGATTTGCTTCTAGAACACCGAGAGTTACTAGTTCACAACATGCACCTGTGTGACAGTAGGTTTACATGATATGTAGTACTGTATGAATATAGAATAAATAATTTTGGAAGCGTTTTAAGCGTTGTTGTTTTTCCTGACAATGATTAAACCCATTCTCTTATATGGATGTGAAATCTGGGGCCCAAGAAATCTTCACAGAGAAAAAATTATCATTAAATAAAATAAACAAAATTCCCTTTGAACAAATTCACTTAAAGATGTGTAAATGAGCACTTGGTGTGAGAAGGTCAGCTAGCAATAATGCCTGGGCGCCTCCCATTATACTTGCACATTGTCAAATTAGTATCAAGATACAGTGAAAGGCTGAATAGCCTTCCAGAGCAAAGAATTGTCAAGCAAGCGTACAATAGAGAACAAGCAAAAAGGGGAAAAAACTGGTTTGGGCAATGTCAAACTTGGCTACATATTCGGGACTTAATCACTCAAATTCAACCCTAACTGTCAATAAAATTCACAAAAACCAAAATCTAAAAAGTGACATACATGTAACCGTCAAAATAAAATCAGATTTTTGGGAAGAGTTACACAGAGAGGAAAATAATAAGCTGAGGGCATACAGGAAAATTAAACATTAATATGAACCCGAACCATACTTAAAAATGAATATTTCACACACCCACAAAAAAACTTTTGGAAAAAATGCGAATTAGTGACCATGACCTAGAAATTGAAAAAGGGCTACATGAAAACCCAAAAACAACTTTCAGACTGAAAATGCCCCCACTGTAATGAGGAAGAAGATGAAATACATTTTTTCCTAAAATGCACTCATCACAAAATTGAAATGAAATTGCTATTCGAATGCATACCAGAGGTTAACTTGCAAGGTCTAACAGACGAGGTCAAACAGCTTGACATCATTCTAAACCCACCCACTGAACAGAGTGCAATTGCGGTAGGGAATTTTGTAAGTAAAATTATGAATAAACGTAATTAACTAGAAGTGCAAAAATGATTCCATGCATCTGACCTGTATATTAAGATAATTATTGTGTAACTTTATATACGAGTAATAATTTTTCTCTTTCATTTACTTACTATCATTACTATCTTTCCATATTTATTTATATAGTAGCTAGAGAGCCTCTAAATGTAAAAAACATTTCAGTGCTCAATAAATTATTATTATTATTATTATTATTATTATTATTATTATTATATGTTGTATACTACTGTGTATTGCTGCGTCATCTGTTATCTGAAACCCAGGATATGTCTTTGATTGTCATGTTCCAAATACATCTATCTGGTCAGGCTATTACCTTCGAAACACAGAACCAGACAATGAATGTCTAGATAAAGATCAAAATTTAAAGTTTAATAACCAGTATCTCACTGTGCATATCCAACTTACGAACATAATACTGGCATTCCCGTCCCCTGTGGTAGGAGTCGCAATAACACTTGTACCATCCTTTCATCGGGTGACACGTTCCTCCATTCTGGCACGGATTGCTATAGCAGGGATCTTAAAAACAAATGACGCATTGAAAAAAAGTTAATTTTTCCAACAAATTATTAAATGGTGATTACGTTTTTTTTTTTTTAGTTACGACGTCTGTACCAGGTAGAAATGCTATACATAATTATACCCGGTTCGTTGCACTTAAGATTCTATTTAAAGCAACTTCCACACAGCCTTTGTAAAACTATTGGCAACATAACAAACAACGGCACGTTCAATAGGAAGACTGACCGTATGCTGTTGTTTCCGGTGTGAACGGAATGTAGGTCCGCCTAGTCACGGTGGTCCTACGGACCACCGTTCCTTAGGATTAGTAGTCCAAATGGGACCTGCATTCCTGTCATATATATGTATAGGACTTATATTCCTGGCGGCACTGCATTCCGTTTACATTAGTCAGCGAAATGTAGGTCTGCACTATTTTTATGTTCGTCCTTTTATATTAATAGGTAAAGGCAAGTGACATGAATAGTATGCTTTAGTGAGCATATATAAATAGTTCGTAAAATCGCCGATTTGCCGCTTCGTCTCTCTGCTGTAGTGGTTAGGCAGTGCAACAATGTGTATCCAAAACAGTATACTTAAAGTAAATTGATGGGAGTTTGAAGACTAAAAGACTGAAATTGCGTTTTTAACTTTTGTGTGATTTTTATGTCTTTGTCATGTTTGCTGGTCATCTAACTTTGCCACGTCGGATAATTTAGACTGGTGACATATGTCACGCGCTTTCTTGCACTACTATAAATACGTTCATATTCTGATACCACACCTTCACTTGACTTTTGATATGGAAGGGACGAGCAGCACCCGTTCAAGACCCATCATAGAGGTTATATTTAGTATGTGCAAGAGGGCACTTACCCGATAGGCACAGCACCGACCAACAAAAGAGTAATTCGAAGAACTAGCAAGTCGGATTATAAATAAGCTTTCATTTACAGTTACTTTTCATTATCTTCAAAATACACACAATTTGCCTTCACAGAGGCCATATTAGTTTACACACAGACATACATTTCCAAGAATGTAAGTCCGTCAGACCTATGCTCCTGGAATAAGTGTCCGGAGGACTACAATTTCTGAGATTTTAGGTCCGGGGAACTACTGTCTCTAGCATTTTGGGTGCGAGGACAAATACTTATTATTGGATTTTCCGTCTAACTTCACTTACAGAAGAAAAGGCCTGTCAATATATATATATATATATATATATATATATATATATATATATATATATATATATATATATATATATATATATAGTATTGTAATGATCATTTCAGATTGAACATGACAAGCTATTTTATAAAGTAAATCAGAGGAAAGTGAAGGACGTCTCGGATGACGGTAAGTGCAGTGATGATGATGGTCATGACGATGAACTTTGGCTAATAGTCATAAGGCAGAAAGCAGAAAGATCCATAGTTAGGGCCTTGTGTAGTAAAAGGAATATCAAAATCGGGAGCGTACATTCTACAAATTGAAGGGGGTGCACCCTTCAAGGTGCCGTCAACGGCTCCAATTTGAAAATTTATCTGACAAATGAATACGTCTACTAAAACTTCTTACGTGTTATTTTTCATAATTATTTTTTTTTCGTTCAGTTTGTCAATATGAAAATAATAAGGTAATCACACCGGTCATTTAAATACACACATATTATTATTTATTATATGTAACTTCCATTTAAGTGTGATAGAAAAAGTCAAATCGGACATATAGTCCTAGTATAAATCAGGAAAACAGGTCCCATCCGGACTTGCATTCCTTGCAATGGAACTTACATTCCTTGGTAACTGTTGTCCCAAGGACGTTAAATCCTAGTAACGTATGTCCTAGGACATCAATTCCTAGAAACGCTAGACCTAGGACTTGCATTCCCAGGACCAGTGTCCGGTCAGACTTGCGTTACTAGGACTACCATTCCGTTCACACCGGCATTGCTGAACATGAAATGGAAATATTTCAATTTAAATGTTTAAAAATATGTGATGTGACTAAATGCAAAATATACAGTAGTTGATTTAATGTTAGAAAATTTATTCTAATATATTGAAGATTCATTCCATTACATAACATAAAATATCTTAGAGTTTTACTACATGGTTTCACACCCATACCAGTTGTGATTTCGTTTGCCGCCGTTGTTTCTTCTGTAAAATATGACAAATGCATAAGATACTTAGTAAATATTTGTTGCACCGTCTTGGACTGCAGTTATTAACCAAATGTTGCTTCTTGAAAAATGCTATATATTTCTAATCTTCAACTTGTTGATAATCCCATAATGCTCTATCACGTGACAAAATGGTACATTTTTATACTTCTTATATTACTTTTACAAATTCTATTCAGACGCGTACTTTAACTAGGGTATAAATATAAATTGGAGGATATTTTTGTTCTTAGATGAAAAACAAACAAAAAAAAATAATAATAATGAAATGCACTTTTATAGAAAAAAATCAACTTACGGTATCTATAAGCACCGTACTCGCATTTTTGCCCAGTACGGTAGTAAGGACAGTTACATCTGTAGCCAGTGTATGGCCAATAGTAACTGTTGGTACGTACACATGTACCACCATACTGGCAGGGGTTTTGGGAACAAGGATCTGAAATTGTGCATATTTAAATGAAGAGTAGTACCTGGCACTGAGACACTTTTAAATTGAAGATATTGAGCTAAAACTATCAGCACAGTAGAATAGTATTTTGAGGCGTGCACATAAAAACACATTATACACATTACAATGTATCTTTAAAAAACAGTAAAAAGCATCTGCAAGATTGCAATTACACAATCTTGTACCCGGTCCATTGCACATAGATTCTATATTTATAGCCACTTCAACACGGCCTATACAAAAGTCCTCACACCATATCAAACAATGTAAGGGACACTAGAAAAGCTTACCGTATGTAGTTGCTTCTGGCATTTCTGGACATGAAATAAAAATATCCAATATTCGTTTTAATGTTTAAAAACCTGCGATGTGCCTTATGTCAAAATATACAAGTAGTTGATTTAGTGTTAAACTATTTGTATGATAACCAAATTGTGATTGACAAGGGGTTTCTAAAATTTTAATTAAAAAATATGATATTATAAAGCATGAACATATTTCAGAGTTTTACTCCCGTACCAGTTGTTATTTCGTTTGCCGCCGTGGTTTCTTCTGAAAAAGGTGACATAATACATAAAATACTTAGTTAAATTTTGCCGTTGAGTGTTGATCTGCATTTGTTTATTTACCGAATAGCAACCAATGAAAAACGCTTTACTTGTCCTTCATTTATAAACCAGTATTTTGTTGAATATTCATCTGTTGATAAATCTTACAAGTGCTTTGGCGCGCCATGAAATGATACTATCAGATAAAGATAGCGTAGATGCTATCATCACTCGTGTGTGATACAAAGCGCCGTACCTTGTAAAACGATATGTCAAACTTTGCGCAGCTATGATATAGGTTGTACTATGCGCATTTGAATATATACCAAATTCATATTGTACAATTGCTTTGGTTAGAATTTATTTGGCGCATAAACCCACACAAGAACTTTTAAAAACACTTTAAAGATGGTATATAGTTATTTACCATAGTGCACCGTGGTGGCTGAGAGCTCTGTGTCATTGTAACATGACACCCCAGCATCTTCACTATGTCCACAGTTGTGTTTACCCAGACCTTGGTGAGAGCAATCAAATACACTGGACTCGTAGCCTCTACAGCGCAGGTCATCCAGCCATATCGGACCACGGCCTTGACCAAACCTGGCGCTCGAGTAGGCTCTCGCATTGTATGGGCTGTAACAAGTGTAGATTTAGTAGGGTATACATCAAAATCATTGCAGGCAGGGATTCAACTATCCAGACTCCTTAAATTCATTAACTAAGTAAGTCAAAACTGAAGACATTTTAGGATGTAGGGGGTGCTGTTTCATTGTCTGAATAGTCATTTCACATTTTAATGTGGGGAAATTTAATGATATAAATATCCATATTGTTGCACTACTGTACACAGTATTGTGAGGGTGACGGATAAGCATTGCATTATCAGCAAATTCTGTATTGAAGTGAAAATTGAGTCCAGTGTAAAATTGTTATTATATTTAAGGCACAACATTATACAAAGTCGGACCTGTATCCCAGCATACGGCATACAACTTGGGCATCCGTGTTGTCAAAACTATCGTCACAAACTGTCCCCCACTGGCCATTATGATAAACCTCCACACGACCTATGCTGACACTCCCTCCTCCTACTAAACGGATCTTTTTCCCTGTAAACTTATCTGAAACGGCGGTCGTGTTATAATATAATATAATATAATATAATATAATATAATATAATATAATATAATATAATATAGGGATAGTATGCGTGTCACTGTACACTTAACCAATTACTAGCATGAACGAGAACAAAATATGTTTGGTATGTTAACGAAAAAAAACCTCATAATTTCATTTCAATCCCTGAGCATGGTTAGGACATAGTGCCCACGTGTTGTTAAATAAATGGGTCGCGATCGTTTAGTACAGAAAGTGGAATACCTGAAAGTGTACAATGGGCAAAACTACAACTAAAAATGGAATGTTTTAATTTACTATTTTTAACTTAAAGGTGCCAAAACTACAATCAAATAACTCAATATGCGTGAGTATATATGGAGAGCACATCTGCAGTGAACCATTTTTATTTCATATCACTAATACCTGTTGTTTTTGCTGTTAACGTTGTTTCCTCAAATGTTAATGGCGTCGTTACTGAAACACATATCGAAAAAATGCAGTATTTGTATTCCAAGCATCCATATACATTGACAAGAAACGTTCAGTGACAACACATTGAAAACAAACTGCATGTTGCCATTGTTGAGTAACGTAATGCATGTCCCGATGTGTATTTGTATATCAGTGTCCATATACATGTACATGTATTGGAAGTAAAAACCCTATATGTCGTTCGGTATTTTTCATCAGCATTTGTTATTCAAAGTCGTTCACTATACCAAATATACGTATAAATAATAACACTCGATCGAAGTAGTAAAAAAAAAAAACATGTCAAATGTGAACATCTATTTATGTAGAACAATTCAAGAAGAAATGAGATGACAGGCTAACACATTATGATGGAATTATTCCATGCACATTTAAACAAATACTACCTGTACTCACCACTACCATATTGGCAATAATAGCCCCACGTGCCTGCTGGACAGCGGCATCTACCGTTATAATCATAGTACCCTCCATTTTGACAGCCTATATTACGAAATAAGGAAAACTGACTCAATAGCACTGTACTTTGTTAAGTATAAACAGAAAATGACCACTTATTGCCGCTGCATAGAGACACAATCTGTATTTACAATTACACGTGCTGCGGACATAAGTGCAGGAGAGGAATGGGCTGTTTAGTGTACTGCTTGTGTCATGATTTAGTATGTTGCAAGCGACGTTTGTTGTACTTTAGCCGGATATGCAACGTCGTGATTTGCCAAATATTTGGCAACAATCAAATAACATTTAGCTATCCACATGATTGTACTTTAGTAAATCTGATTTTTATTGCAAAAAGCGTCATTTCTACTCAATTACAAGTTTTAAAAAATCTTCCACAAAAAGATCCTTTTCCTTGAAACCTACTCTGTGTTGTCGTTTCCGTGGGTCTCTCAGTGGTTTGCCCTAAAAAAAAATACACATCTAGCTTAAAGGGATAATAACTCTTCGTTTTGGCCAAAAAATGAATTTTCCTGGAGTAAACAACAATTTCCCCATGTTTACCAATGGTTAATGAATCCATTTTTACATTTAAAGTTAGTCCCTGGTTTTTTTCTAAGAAGTTTGTTTTTTTGTTAAAATCTCTTAAGTGATTATAACAGAGTATAGCCATCAATGGAGGTCACGTGATCTGAAGACAAGCTCAGATATCAGAATAATAGCTATAACTGCTGTTTTCGTTGTAAAACAGAATATATTATATTTCTATCAGCTATTCACAATGTTTTTATTGTGAAATATAGATTTCATACGAAGAGTTATTATCCCTTTAAAGTGTTCAGTGCATTCTTTTAGTAAAACATTTAGTTCTGGAGACAACACTGGTTTATATTTATATTTCTACACAGATACAGTATAAGGCTAAACTTATAAGTATAGTACCGTACTTTTTTAATGAATAGTCACGTTATTTATCTGATAACATCGAACCAAAAAAATGATTTTCAGGATTTATTTCTTAAAACAAATATCGTGTTAATCAGATTCTCCTTACGTCCATAATACTGGCATTTCTGTCCATAGTGGTAAGAGTCACATTGACAGCTGTATTCTATGTATTGGTACGGCCAGTATGAGGTTCTCTTCGGGTAACATGTTCCACCGTTCTGACACGGATTGCGGTAGCAGGGATCTGAAACACAATGGAGAGATTGGAAACCACAGCAAAACGTATACATTGGTTTACCAATGAAACTTATTGTTTGCTAGAAGCCATGCTGTTTACCAAGACAGGAGGATAAATAAGCAACACTTTTATATTTTAGGTAAAGTTTAGTATTTATATGCAGAAGGAACTTGGCATTTGATCAAGACTGCCGAGAGAAAGAGACTTACCGTAAGTTGTCGCCATGTATGTAGGCTCCACCGTTATTTGCACTGAAGCATATCAAAAATTGTAAATTATCAATCACCAGTTTATAAGCTTCTATTGAGCGTAACGATATATACGGTTGACTCTGAGATATGCAGTACCGTACATACATGTATCCTGTGAGATTCAACTTAAATGTGTCTGTTTTTTAGATGTTCTGTCACCTGTAAACCAGTCTATTCATTTCTATATATTAGGCAATATATGCTCGAAATAAATTGCTAGAAATGAGATAAGGACCACTCACCATTGTGGAATTGTTCTCTATAATATTTTTGCAAGTCAACTCTCCCCTTCCATATTGGCAATAATAGCAGGGGCGAATCCAGGATTATTTGAAGTGGGAGTCTGCGAATGCAAAGCCGACCCTCAATCCCCCCCCCCCGAAAGAATTTTGGTATCTTTGAGGGTGACGGTGTCATTTGGTACGGATTACAACTATCATTCAATCAAGTCAAAATTCTAGTATCAAGAGAGGACCAGAAATCGAATGGGGCCAGGACATCCCTGACCCCCTCTAAATCCGCCACAGAATAACCCCACGTGCCTGCTGGACAGCGACATCTACCGTTATTATAATCATAGTACCCTCCATTTTGACAGCGTATATACGGTAAGGGCATAATAAAGGTACACTGTATACACTAATTATTAGCCAAACATGTTAATTTATTTCTGTTACGGAGGGAAAATCACACTTTCAAGAGATATGTGTAGCGCAGGGACTTTTAAATACATTTGTAATGGTTTGGGACAGGATTATGTGAATGTAACATCTTGCATTATGTTGCGAGCGGCGTTTTAAGTGTGTTAACGGGGCATGCGACACCGCGCTTCTCCAAATGTTTGGAAATAATTAATTAACTCTTAAAAACTACATTATTACAGGTAAACCTTCTTTTATCTTCCCAATGCGACTTTCTACTGGATTACAAGTTATAATATAAAAGGGTGTTTTCCATAAAACCTACTGGGAGTTGTTTTTACTGTTGGTCTCTTAGTGGTTTGTCCTGAAAAAAAAAAAAAAAAAAAAACATTCAGCTTGAATCGTTCAGTGCGTTGTTTTATTTAAAAAAAATTAGCACTGCAGACAACAGGGGCCTACATTATTATTATTATTATTACGTTTGTTCATCTGTATTTTTGTACAGAGGAACGGGATAAAGGTAAACTAATAACTATGGTTTCGTGGCGCGACTTGCACATTTTCTGAATTTTATTCACGCTATAAATCTGATTTCATCGAAACAAAGAATGATTTTCAAGATTTATTTTTTAAAACAAGTATCGTGTTAATCAGATTCTCCTTACGTCCATAATACTGGCATTTCTGTCCATAGTGGTAAGAGTCACACTGACAGCTGTATTCTGTGTATTGGTACGGCCAGTGCGAGGCTCTCTTCGGGTAACATGTTCCTCCGTTCTGACACGGATTGCGGTAGCAAGGATCTGAAACACAATGGAGAGATTGGAAACCACAGCAAAACTTATACGTTCATTTACCAATGAAGGTCACTGTTTGCTAGAAGCCATGCTGTTTACCAAGACAGGAGGATAAATAGGCAACACTTTTATATTTTAGGTAAAGTTGAGTATTTTAAATGCAGAAGGTACTTGGCATTTGATCAAGACTGCCCACAGAAAGAGACTTACCGTAAGTTGTCGCCATGTATGTAGGCTCCACCGTTATTTGCACTGAAGCATATCAAAAATTGTAAATTATCAATCACCAGTTTATATGCTTCTCTCAAGTGTAACGAAATATACGGTTGACTCTGAGATATGCAGTACCGTACATACACGTATCCTGTGAGATTCAACTTAAATGTGTCTGTTTTTAAGATGTTCTGTCACCTGTAAACCAGTCTATTTATTTCTATATATTAGACAACATATGCTCGAAATAAATTGCCAGAAATGAGATAAGGACCACTCACCATTGTGGAATTGTTCTCTATAATATTTTCGCAAGTCAACTCTCCACTTCCATATTGGAAATAATAGTAGGGGCGGATCCAGGATTATTTGAAGTGGGAGTCTGCGAATGCAAAGCCGACCCTCAACCCCACCCCCACCCCCCCCACCCGAACGAATTTTGATAAGTTTGAGGGAGAACGGTGTCATTTGCTACGGATTAGAATTATCATTCAGCTAATCAAAATTCTAGTATCAAGAGAGGACCAGAAATCGAAGGGGGCCAGGACATCCCTGACCCCCTCTACATGTATATCCGCCACTGAATAGCCCTACGTGCCTGCTGGACAGCGACATCTACCGTTATTATAATCATAGTACCCTCCATTTTGAGAGCCTATATACGGTAAGGGCATAATGGCATACACTCTATACACTTATTGTCAGCCAAACATGAAAATTATTCCTGTTACGGAGGAAAATCAGACTTTCGCTCTTTACAATCACACTTTCAACAGATATGTGTAGCGCAGGGGCTTTTAAATGCATTTGTAATGGTTTGGGACAGGATTATGTGAATGTAACATCTTGCATTATGTTGCGAGCGGCGTTTTAAGTGTGTTAACTGGGCATGCGACACCGCGCTTCTCCAAATGTTTGGAAATAATTAATTAACTCTTAAAAACTACATTAGTACAGGTAAACCTTCTTTTATCTTCCCAATGCGACTTTCTACTGGATTACAAGTTATAATATAAAAGGGTGTGTTTCTTAAAACCTACTGGGAGTTGTTTTTACTGTTGGTCTCTTAGTGGTTTGTCCTGAAAAAAAAAAAAATTCAGCTTGAATCGTTCAGTGCGTTGTTTTATTAAAAAAACATTTACTACTGCAGACAACAGGGGCCTACATTATTATTATTATTATTATTATTACGTTTGTTCATCTGTATTTTTGTACAGAGGAACGGGATAAAGGTAAACTAATAACTATGGTTTCGTGGCGCGACTTGTACATTTTCTGAACTTTATTCACGCTATAAATCTGATTTCATCGAAACAAAGAATGACTTTCATGATTTATTTCTTAAAACAAGTATCGTGTTAATCAGATTCTCCTTACGTCCATAATACTGGCATTTCTGTCCATAGTGGTAAGAGTCACACTGACAGCTGTATTCTGTGTATTGGTACGGCCAGTATGAGGTTCTCTTCGGGTAACATGTTCCACCATTCTGACACGGAATGCGGTAGCAGGGATCTGAAACACAATGGATAGATTGGAAACCACAGCAAAACTTATACGTTCATTTACCAATTAAGGTCACTGTTTGCTAGAAGCCATGCTGTTTACCAAGACAGGAGGATAAATAGGCAACACTTTTATATTTTAGGTAAAGTTGAGTATTTAAATGCAGAAGGAACTTGGCATTTGATCAAGACTGCCGCGAGAGAAAGACTTACCGTAAGTTGTCGCCATGTATGTAGGCCCCACCGTTATTTGCACTGAAGCATATCAAAAATAGTAAATTATCAATCACCAGTTTATATGCTTCTATTGAGTGTAACGATATATACGGTTGACTCTGAGAAATGCAGTACCGTACATACATGTATCCTGTGAGATTCAACTTAAATGTGTCTGTTTTAAGATGTTTATTTGTATATTAGACAATATATGCTCGAAATAAATTGCCAGAAATGAGATAAGGACCACTCACCATTGTGGAATTGTTCTCTATAATATTTTCGCAAGTCAAATCTCCACTTCCATATTGGCAATAATAGCAGGGGCGGATCTAGGATTATTTGAAGTGGCCGGCCCCGGGAGTCTGCGAATGCAAAGTCGACCCTCAACCCTCCCCCTCCCCAACCGAAAGAATTTTGGTATCTTTGAGGAAGAACGGTGTCATTTGGTACGGGTTAGAATTGTCGTTCAGCTAGTCCAAAGTATAATATCAAGAGAGGACCAGAAATCGAAGGGAGGTCAGGACCTCCCTGACCGCCTCTAAATCCGCCACTGAATAGCCAATTAACTCTTAAAAAACTTCATTAGTACAGGTAAACCTTCTTTTATCTTCCCAATGCACCTTTCTACTGAATTACAAATAATAATATAAAAGGGTGTTTTCCTTAAAACCTACTGGGAGTTGTTTTTGCTGTGGGTCTATTGGTAGCTTGTCCTGAAAGAAAAAAAAACATTCATCTTGAATCATTCAGTGCGTTGTTTTTGTAAAACAACATTTACTGCAGAAAACAGGGGCCTACATTATTGCTATTATTATTATTATCATTTTTTTTAATGTTTATCTGTATTTTTGTATAGAGAAACAGGATAAAACTGAACTAATAACTATAGCTTCGTGGCATGACTTGTACATTTTCTCATTTTTATTCACGCTATAAATCTGATTACATTGAAACAAAGAATGATTTTCAAGATTTATAGCTTAAAACAAGCATCGTGATATTCAGACTCTCCTTACGTCCATAATACTGGCATTTCTGTCCATAGTGATAAGAGTCACACTGACAGCTGTATTCTGTGTATTGGTACGGCCAGTACGAGGTTCTCTTCGGGTAACATGTTCCACCGTTCTGACACGGATTGCGGTAGCAGGGATCTAAGACATAAAATATGAGACATAGAGGGAAATTGAGAGCTTGGGTGCCACAGCAAAGAGTGGACATCAAATTAGGAAAATCACAGTTTGTCAGAGACCACAATATTTTTGACAAGAGAAAAAACATATGACAAATTCAATACGCGAGTAGAAGTATGATGATGTAATTCGCTGGTAAAAGCTTAAGTTACATAAAAAGTACAATTTAAGTAATAGAAAAAGTACATATGTCTGCAAATATATGTTTTGCGAGATACAACGTTATTGTTGAGAAAGAGAGGTAGAGTGTAAAACAGAGGGGGGGATGTATCTGTGTGTTGTGTGTGTGTGTGTGTGTGTGTGTGTGAGAGAGAGAGAGAGAGAGAGAAAGAGAGAGAGAGAGTTTTTCTCTCAAGCTTACCATATGTTGTAGCCATATTGGTCGGCATGATGTGTTCTATAAGAA